AGACATGAACCTCGGCCACGGCTCGGGCGTGCATCTGCCCGAGACCAAGGATCTATGGCACATTCCCGTCCTTCGATCTGTTAGTGAGATGAGAAAACATTGAATGATACGTAGCAAATGTTGCAAAAGAAGGAGAGCGAGGATGAGAGACGCGGCACGGACCGATGCAGGAGTGTCCGTCGTCGCTGCGCTGGTAGCCGGCGTCGCAGTCGCACAGGAAGCCGCCCTCGGTGTTGATGCAGACTCCGGGCGCGCAGCGGTCGCGTCGCTCCGCGCACTCGTCCACGTCCTCGCACGCGTCCGCCGCGTCGTGCGGCGCCGACGTGCGCTTGTACCCTGCCGCGCGATAAATCGTACTCGTGAATGCTACAAATGACTCGGACGAGCAAACAAAAACGTAGTCGCAACACGCATACCTTCAGGACATTTGCATATGTAGGAACCGACGACGTTCTCGCAGGCGTGCGGGCAGGGCGCGGGCTCGGCGGCGCACTCGTCGACGTCGCGGCAGTGCGCGCCGTCCGCCGCCAGCCTGTACCCGTAGGGGCACGTGCAGCGCCACGAGCCCGGCGTGTTGTGACACCGGAACGAGCACGCCGCGCGCCCCTCCGCGCACTCGTCTACGTCCACGCACGTCTGACACGCGCAAGCGGATACCGATTAAAGAACCGTAATAAACAAAGAATTACCGGAGCCGGGCTCGGTGTGCACAGGTTGAATAGTAGTATAAGAAAAGCGCTTATAGTACAAAGAAAGCATTCGACCTGCTCCGTGCCCTGCGTGAATCCGAGGTTACAGGTGCACTCGTAGCCGCCGGCGGTGTTGGTGCAGGTGCCGTTGCCGCAGATGCGCGGGTCCTGCGCGCACTCGTCCGCGTCCACGCACACCAGCCCGCTGCCGTCCAGCACGTAGCCCGCCGGACACGAGCACCGGAACGAGCCGTCCGTGTTGATGCAGTGCCCGCCCTTGCACACGTCCGGCCGCACCTTGCACTCGTCCAAGTCCTGCTAGCATCGCCATTCCTCGTTACTACGTTACATATGGCGTCGTTCGTCCTGACGCTCGTCGCAACTTGACGTAATACACGATATTCTTATTTATATTCCCTTTTTTATGTCTACTTGTCCTCATTTTGCGCACCTGAGTGAGATTCGGTCGTCCCATTCCTCCCTGACAGATCCTCAGAAACTCTGCGGAGTCCGGTGTGGGACACCGCTCACAGTATCGACCCCATGCGGCACCTGAAATATTACATTTAAATACGCCACTTGAAATATGTTTATGCATTTTACCACTTTTCCAACGTATCACATTAACAGATCACGAACGTTGCACGGCTAACACCGCGAATAACTTGCGTGTAATAATTTAGCGAGGCGATACCTTCGGAGCAGCAGCAGTCGGGCCGGCTGAGCTGCAGCGGACGCGCCTTGTGACAGCGGCCGGCGTCCCACTGCTCGTAGCACAGCTCCTTGCGCTCGTCCACGCACATCGCCGACGCCTGGTCGAAGCGCCAGCCCGCCGGGCAGTCGCACCGGTACCTGACGCAGCGACACATCTTTATATATTCAAATCTAAAGTCTACGAAAGTTAAAACTAATAGGAGTATAAAGAGGAGATGTAGCATTTAGATATAATTGCGGCGATGCGGACTGACCCGCCGTTGAAGTTGTGGCAGTCGCCGCCGGCGCAGGCGTAGGGCAGGTCGCGGCACTCGTCGCGGTCGACGCAGCGGCGGCCCGCCAGCCGCCAGCCCGCGCCGCACGAGCACTCGTAGCCGCCGTTGGTGTTGGTGCAGGCGGGCGAGCCCTCCGTGCCGCACGGCGCCGGCAGCTCCGCGCACTCGTCCAGGTCGCGGCAGTTGCGCGCGTCGGGGCTCAGCACGTAGCCCGGCGCGCACTCGCACCGGAACGACCCCACCGTGTTGCGACACCGCCCGTTGCGGCACACCATGCCGCCCTCGCGACACTCGTTTATATCTGCGCGCAAACAAACCTACTCATCTCTCGATCCCGTAAACTGCACCGCAATATTACGAACCGAGACGGCGACGGCTCGGGCGGAAACGTTTCGAAGATTTGATTACCGATGCAGTCGTTGTTGGCGCCGGGCTTGAAGCCCTCGTCGCAGTGACACACGTAGGAGCCTGGCCGGTTCTCGCAGGTGCCGTTGCGACACAGCGGCCGCGGCCGGGAGCACTCGTCCACGTCGCGGCAAGCGTTCTCCCGCAGCGTGTAGCCAGGCGCGCACTCGCACCTGCCCAACACACGTCACGCGTCAAATATCACACGTCACGACATCGCAAAGAGAACTATTAATCATTGTAGTTTTCTTTACGATCCCATCACGGATAACTGACTGCGGACCTGTACGATCCGATGGTGTTCCTGCACTCGCCGTGCTCGCAGAGGCGCTGGTCGGCGCATTCGTCGACGTCCTCGCACTCGTCGAGCGAGGCCGTCAGCCGGTAGCCGGCGGGGCAGCGGCACTCGAAAGCACCGGGCAGGTTGACGCACTGCGCCAGGCCGCGGCATGGCGGCCGCGCGCCCTGGCACTCGTCTATGTCGCGGCACAGGTGCGACGTGTTGTCGTGCTCGTATCTGCGCGGACATAGCACAAAACCTCATCTCACTACATCTCAAAAACAGCCCGCTAGGTGACTGTACGCGCATTCGTAAAATAGCCGGCGACACGGTCACCATCCTAGAAGGGAAGGAAGGAAAATGTGAGGACTGACCCGTGGTCGCAGCCGCACTGGAAGCCGGTGGGGGTGTCGTGGCAGGAGCCTGGCTTGCACAGCTGCGGCATGATGTCGCACTCGTTGATGGGCCGCGTCTCGTTCGGGTTCATCGGGTTGATGTACTCGCCCGGCTTCTCCCCGCACAGCGCCATGTGCTCCTGTCGCACCACACAACTACATTTAGTGCGCAGAACACGATGTTACTTATATACTTACCGCTTCGCGTGCAATCGCTTTCTTAAATTGTGAGGCCGGATTTTTTTAATACGTATACTTTTAAAAAAAATAATTTTTTTCCGGAGTTACTGACTTGCGAGCCCTTGTCGGGACAGGCCTCGCAGGGCGCGCCCCAGGCCCGGCCCACGGAGCAGCAGCACAGGTACTTGGTCTGAGGCACGCCCACCGCCGCGCTGCAGCGTCCCGTCTCCGGCTCCCAGTCCAGGTAGCACTGCCGCTGCCGCACGTCCACGCACTCCTCTGTCAAACACGTAGTAGTAACGGTATAAATAATGACGTATGTGGAGTTCATATTTTTTCGGTACAGTGAGGTAGATACTGACTCCCGTTGGGCATGGCGACGTATCCCTCGGGGCAGAGGCAGACGTAGGAGCCGGGCAGGTTGCGGCAGACGCCGGGGCCGCAGATGTCGGGCTGCGCGCACTCGTCTATGTCGTCGCAGCGCGCGGCTCCGGCTGCGGCCGACAGCCGGCGGCCCGGCCCGCACGTGCACACGAACGAGCCGAACGTGTTGGTGCAGGTGCCGTGCTCGCACAGCGCCGGGTGCTGCGCGCACTCGTCTATGTCCGCCAGCGTCACCACGTACGATGGCTGCAACTCAACGTCTCGCATTGTTAATAAGATACATTTAATGATATAAGAAGTAAAAAATGAGATATGAGCACTGACGGGTTCGAGGACGGGCTGGTAGCCGGGGCCGCCGGGGCAGAGCTGGCGGTACGCCTCCGAGCCCGGCTCCGGGCACAGGTCGCAGTAGTTGCCCCACGCCGCGCCTGAGATACATAAAAACAACTTAAGTTAGAAAAACTGGTAAAACACCTAAACTGAGTTTTAACTCCAGACGTCGTTAGCTTTTTCCATTGAAGCTATTGGTAACGTGTAAGTATATGATGGTTCTCACCGACGGAGCAGCAGCAGGCGGCCATGGTGCCGTCCTCGGAGAGCTCGTCGCTGTCGCGGCAGTGCTCGGTGCCCGAGCGCAGGTCCACCTGCCCGTAGCATCTCGCCTTGCGGGAGTCTGACAACATCACATCACTGTGCTTTATTAAACTTTAATAAAAACAAATCGTTCCAAACCATTAGCGTGCTTCCGAAAAGCATTACTGGCTCCCCGCTCTTCACATATATATACTGTAACGTGAATAGTTACCGAAGCACGCGGTCCCGTCGGAGACGAGCTCGTAGTTGGGCGGACAGCGGCAGATGTAGGAGCCCTGCGTGTTGAGACACGTGCCGTACTGGCAGGACTGCGGCGACTTGCACTCGTCCACGTCCGTACAGTTGAATCCCGGCATCACTGTAATTCAATTTGTATTTATGCAACCGTGACTCTTTAAAACTGAGCCGTTTCTGTGATAAAAATAAACTAAATCGCAAGACTTACGGTCATCGACGCTGTCGGACTGGTAGCCCTTGTCGCAGATGCACTTGAACATGCCGTACGTGTTGACGCAGCGCCCGAACACGCACACGTTGTCGAACGTCGCGCACTCGTCCATGTCTGACAACGACAAGACATAACAATTACACTCGATACGTCAACATATAGGTGAGAGTTGCGCGTTGCGGTGTACCGAGTATGCGTTACCGAGACAGGAGCGGCCGTCGGCGGACTTGGTGAAGCCGACGTCGCAGTCGCACTCGTAGCCGCCGGGCGTGTTGGTGCAGTGACCGTTCTCGCACAGCGTGGGGTCGTTGCCGCACTCGTCGATGTCCACGCAGGAGTACCCGTCGCCCTTGTAGCCGGTGTCGCAGAGACACACGAATGAGCCGTCGGTGTTGCGGCAGGTGGCCCGCGGGTGACACCCGCCGTTGTTGGTGAGGCACTCGTCCACGTCCTCGCACTCCGTGCCGTCCCCGCGCCACCCGTCGCGGCACCGGCATTGGAACGAACCCTGCACAAAGCGACAAATGTTTCACTGCCGAGGATATAGAATAAATAAATAAAAGGTGCGACGCTAGATACCGGCAGGTTGATGCAGTCCGCGGCGGGGTGGCAGTCGCAGGTGCCGAGCTCGCACTCGTCGTCGTCGGTGCAGGCCGGGCCCTGGTCCGGCTTCACGCTGTACCCGTCGGGGCAGCGACATACGAAGCTGCCGATCGTGTTGCGGCACTCGCCGGCCCCGCACAGTTCGGGAATCTGTACCCCGAATGTATTCAAGCGATAATATTTTAGCACGTAATTGTGAAAATATAGGAGCGCGTATAAGGATAACATACGTCTGTGCACTCGTCGACGTCGAGGCAGGTGGGGGGCACGCCGGGCGGCGCGGGCAGCAGGCCGGTGGAGCACTCGCAGCGGTACCCGCCCGGCGTGTTGCGGCACGTGCCTCCCCCGCACACCCGCGCACCCTCCCCACACTCGTCCACGTCGCGGCACGTGCGCCCGTCCGCGCGCAGACGCCATCCGTCCCTGCGCAGACATAGACAGAGTAACCGCTACTACTCCAGGCATTTTTAACAGCAAAAGCGACGCAATCGTTTACCTGCACTCGCAGTGGTAGGAGCCGGGCGTGTTGATGCACTCGTGCTGGCAGCGCGTGGGGTCCTCGCTGCACTCGTCGATGTCCTCGCAGTGAGACTTGACGCTCGACTGCGCGTAGCCCTCGTCGCACACGCACTGGTACGTGCCCATCAAGTTCTCGCAGGCGCCGTTGCTGCAGATACCTGCGGAGGAGCGGAGCGCGGGGTTACACTCGGGCGCTCGTCGCTTCGTGCGAGCGCCGACTTGCGCACCACTGACCGGAGGTGATGGAGCACTCGTCGACGTCCTTGCAGGAGAGGCGGTCGGGCGCGAGCTCCATGCCGGGAGCGCACTCGCAGCGGAAGGAGCCGGCTGTGTTCACGCAGCGCCCGTTGCGGCACAACGCGCTGTTCTCTGCGCACTCGTCGATGTCTGCATACATGAACGCTTTCATTGCTTATCTTTGTCGCATTGATAATATTAATTACAAATAAGTATAAATAGTGCGGTACTCGGTACATACCGACGCAAACTTTGGTGAGGTCGTCTGCGCGGTGTCCGTCGCGGCAGTGGCAGGAGAAGCTGCCGTCGGTGTTGCGGCACTCGCCCGCGCCGCACACCTCGTCCACGATCTCGCACTCGTTCACGTCCACGCACGTGTGGTTCTTGGAGTCCTGGTCTCACACAAATAACAAACTGTCATTCATACATGTATATTCGCATAATAATTTCGCATAAAATAAGACTTAGGTTACCTTTTCATAACCAGGGAAGCATTCGCAGGTGAAGGTGCCGAGCATGTTTTTGCACCTGCCGTGTCCGCAGAGTCCGGGGAAGGCGGCGCACTCGTTGACCTCCATCTGTCCGGGCACGAGGCCGCCGCCGGGCCGCCAGCCGTCGAAGGTGCCGTTGCCCAGGTTGTTCTTGACGTCGACGTCCCAGTCGTTGTCGAAGTCTCCGCCGCCCGTGTGGCTCCAGATGTCGGTGCCGTTCGGTCCGCCGAGGTACGGCCGGTCCCAGGTCGTCGCCGGGCCGCTCACGTCCGATATGCAGAGGGTCCGGTATGCGTCGGTACCTGGAACATTAAGGATTCAGTGATTGAATTGTTTATTAAATTAGTAAAGTTCCAAAAGAATAATTTATAAGTTCCAAGATATTTTTACCTTTCTTGGGGCAGGCCTCGCAGCGGCCGTCGCCCCAGGCCTTGCCAAGGGAGGAGCAGCAGCAGATGGCGCGGTAGACGGACACCTGCAGGGGGTTGGAGCAGCGCCCGCCGATGTACTCCGTGTAGCAATACTCCTTGCGCGTGTCCACGCAGCGGTTGCCTTAAGGAAAGTACAGTTTATTCGAACCTTTTATAATATACTTAGATATATTCGGTCTATAACTGTTTCGCCTGCACGGCTTGGCAGAAATAGGCCCGATGCGGTCTATTTTGGCTTTATTAGTCTGGACTAGGTCTATGATGCGAGCAGTTACCGGTGGCGTCCAGCGTGAGTCCGGGCGGGCAGTCGCAGCGGTAGGAGCCGTCGGTGTTGACGCAGGTGCCGCCCGCGCACAGCTCGGCGTCCAGCATGCACTCGTCCAGGTCGCGGCACGTCGCACCGTCCAACTGAACGACACAACATTCTCAAATTTCTTCTCCTTCGATCTTTCTTCTTCTTTGGGTACTTAAAATCGAAGTTCGATGTTAGAACCTTAGCGAATCCCTTGGGGCAGGGGCAGTGCTCGGGAAGACAGGGCGCGCAGGGCGAGCCCCAGGCCAGGCCCACTCCGCAGCAGCACTCCTGGCGCAGCAGCGCGCCCGCCGCCGCGCCCTCGCACTGTCCGTCCACCGCGCGCCGCCAGCACGACCCGCGCCGGTTGTCTGCACCGCACACACTTACATATAGCCCAATAACAACACAACAATATATAAAGTACTTAAGTAATATTTTAAAAAGTTTCTCCGGGACCTCACGTACAGGTCTTAGGACATTATTGACGAGCGCAATTGTCACAGAGTAGTTGCGAGTTCTTACCGAGACAGTGCTGTGCGGTGGCGTCTAGAACGAAACCGTGTTCGCATTCGCACTCGTAGCTGCCGTGCGTGTTGATGCAGCGCCCGTTGTCGCACGGGTTCGACTGCTCTGTAACACAACACAATCACATGTACACAATACTGCTCTGTACGACATGTTTACCATACACCTACAATGAAACATTATAATAAATATGCTGCAAATGAAGTGCCATGTAAACGTGCTTAAATGACTTGTAACTGTTTTTGAAAAAAATGTAACAGCAAATGTACAAGACTTTACAACATTTCTGTACGGTTGAATTGTAGACGTTATTGTACATATGTAACACATAGTAGATATTGTAAACTATGTCTACATAATAAAAAGCAATCCATCATTCTTCTTTACTTTGACTTTTTTAGCACATTACACTGACGCGGAGGTCATGCGGCACCAGTACCCATTGCATTTGTGACGACATTTTGTCTTCTAAATAAATAAATTTGTGTAACTTAAGAACATGCACATTACTCCTAAAATATACTCAGTTTACTGAGCACGTGCTTAATCAACAAAACTATGCCTGCGTCCTAAACAAAATTGACAATCTTGTTATATTTAGTATGAAATTACTTAATATACTAACAGCCAATTAAAATGTAATAACCATGTGCCGTGCAATGAAATTTAACCACCGAGATGTCGCCAATGATTTCTAATATATTTTTTAAATAATGACAGTTAGACTGATGCTGATAGGATCAAAATTAGAGCGGTTATGAACCCATGTTAGGTGTACCCATGACGTCAGGCGGCGGGCGATGGATACGGATGCATATAACAAAGGTTCGTAACCTGCGCGGCGGAAGGTGGGGGGGATGTCGCCGCGGTCTATGTCGGAGTCGGTGTCGGTGTAAACTGTCTCACCCTCGCACTCGTCGATGTCGCGGCACAGCTGCTCCTCCGCGTCCAGCCGCGTGCCGGGCGGGCACACGCACGTGAAGCTGCCCAGCGTGTTGCGACACTGGCCGCCAGTGCAGTACTGGACACAGACACAACCAAACAAACTTAACGATCGCATTCCACAAGCGGTGAGCAAACCTCGGTTCATGAATATTCACTGTAGTTTCACGTCATCAAGAAAAGTAATAATGCGCAGGTTATGCTTTTGTGTTCACGAGGTGTACTGGTGTGCAGCTCACCGACTGGTGCATGTCGCACTCGTCGATGTCCCGGCAGATGCCGTCGGCGTCAGGATGGTATCCGGGGTCGCAGATGCACTTGTACCCGGGCTCGAGGTTCTCGCAGGTGCCGTGCGCGCACACGCCCGGGATCATCGTGCACTCGTTGATGTCCGCGCCGCCGTTGTCCTTGCTCGCCCCCTCCGGGCACAGGATCTCGTAGTCGGACGTGCCCGGCTTGGGACACTCCTTGCACCCCACTCCCCATCCCAATTTGAAACCTGCAAATTTAAATTTTATCCCAATTACAAACATATTTGTGCAAAAAAGTTGATGTAGTACTAAAGATCGTTAAACAAGAAAGCGACCTTTAGTGGCGCTGCAGCAGCACTGCGAGCGCGTGACGGGTGTGGTGCCGGGCCCTGAGCACTGGCCGTCCTCGTACTTCTCGTAGCACAGGTCCTGTACTTCATCTGAGAAATACAATTAATGATGTTAGTTAATTAAATATTTCATATGATTTGCCGTCTTGTAAAGTAGTGCGGTGTACCGAGGCAGGTGCGGCCGTCGTTGCTGAGCGTGAAGCCGGGCAGACAGTCGCAGCGGAAGGAGCCGGGCGAGTTGCGGCAGCGGCCGTTGCGGCAGACGCGCAGCTCCGCGCACTCGTCCACGTCCACGCACGCGCCGCGCGCCGCCGTGCCGCGGTACCCCGCCTCGCACACACACTGGAACGACCCCTCGCTGTTCACGCAGCGACCACCCTGCAAACGAAACATCATTATTATATCACTTTGATCACCATTTTTATTTGTATTTTAGATATAACAGTATGTCATTAGTGGTGACTAACGTGGCAGAGCGAGGTGTCGGTGCACTCGTCGACGTCGGCGCAGTACCCGCCGGCTGTGGGCGCGAAGCCGGGCTCGCAGGTGCACTCGTAGCTGCCGGGCGTGTTGCGACAGCGGCCGCGCCGACACACGCGCGGGTTGTCGCGGCACTCGTCCACGTCGCGACACGCGTGTCCGCGCTCCGTCGCCTCGTACCCCGCCAGGCACTGACACTCGAAACTGAAAACTCGGGACTGTGAACGACGACTCGAGATGAGATAGAAGTGGTCCAACTCGAGTGAGCAGTACGGACCCGCCGTCGACGTTGATGCAGACGCCGTTGCTGCACATGCCGCCGCCGGTCATCTCACACTCGTTCTTGTCGCTGCAGCGCAGGCCGTTCTCCACCGGGTCGAAGCCGGGCGGACATCTGGTGAAGAACGAAAGACAATCTATAATCTTCAAAGTTTCAGGTTATATGAAGTTTCGGTTGCAAACTGCGACACGAATTGCGTCTACAATTACTTGGTATAAGTGAAAGGGATGCGGTACCTGCACTCGAAGCCGCCGGGCTTGTTGACGCAGGTGCCGCCCTTGCAGTACTCGAGCGCGCATTCATCTATGTCGATGCAGGTGGGGTTGCCGTCCTGCTCCGCCGCCTCCGCACCGTCCCAGCACTGGCACTGGTACCTAACAGTATGAAACAATTGTTGCAATCATGAAAGAAGCAGAGGTGGTAGATCGGTTCAAATGTATGTGTCTCGTACCCGATATCCTTGTCGATACAGTCGCCCAGGCCGCAGATGCCGTCGCGCAGCATGCACTCGTTGATCTTGGCGATGGGCTGCGCGTCGCCGCCGCCGCCGCCGCCCGCGCCTCCGCCGCTCGTGTCGTTGCGTCGCCAGTCCGGGGGGATGATGCCGCCCCCGCACAGGTGAGTCCACTCCGCTTTAAGTTGGAATTAATGTTGTACTTTACCGACACCAGATGTCGTTGTGTAACGTAGTTAGTGCAGTAGTGCGCGGTGTACGTACTGGAGCCGCGCGGCGGGCAGGGCGCGCAGAGGTCGCCCCAGGCGCGGCCCATGTTGTACCCGCAGCAGCAGTCGCGGTTGGAGAGCGGCACGGGCAGGCGGTCGCCGCACTCGCCCGTCTCGCCCAGGTACGTGAAGCAGCTGCCCACGCGCCCGTCTAACACACACGTTACACCATATACATTAGTCAGTTCACACTTAAACGTTTTGTGTACCTTTACACTAATCCATTGTACTTACCGATACAGAACTTCTTGTCGGGGCTGGGGATGAAGTGCGGGTTGCAGAGGCAGTAGTAGTCGCCCTCAGTATTCACACATTTGCCGTTCTGCGAGTTACAAGTTTAAATTACGACGGATATGAAGAGACGAGATGTTGTATCGTACGTTGTGTTGTGTTGCGTGATGTCGTGTAGGATACTCACGGGGCAGATGTCGGGATCCTCGCACTCGTCGATGTCCTCGCAGTTGTTGGAGACGCGATGCCGGCGCTGGCCTGGTGGACACTCGCACGAGAACGACCCCACCGAGTTGACGCAACGCCCTCCCTCGCACAGGCCGGGCACCGCCGCGCACTCGTCTATGTCCTGCGAAACACGCCACAGTTTATTAAGAGATAAACAAAGTCCTGCCAAAGTTGTCCTTAATTTGGTTACTGAGTCTGACCTGGCACTCCTTGGTGGCGAGATTGCGCAGATGGCCGGTGGGGCAGTCGAGGTCTGCGCAACGTTCGCAGGGGTGTCCCCAGGCTACTCCCACGGTGGCGCAGCACAGCTGCTTGGTGCACACCACGCCCTCGAGCGCGCCCGTGCACAGCGCGCCGCGCGTCTCAGTGTAGCACGGACCTTAACATACATAACGTTAGTTGTGCTGTCAGTATTATATATATATATATATATATATATATATACATATAAGTGTTCAATGTTATATAAGTGCGGCAACTGACCAGTGCGGCGGTCGATCTCGCAGCGGGTGCCGGACAAGCCGTGGAAGCAGACGCAGCGGTCGGGCGCAATACAGCGTCCGCCGTGCAGACACGGCTCGTGACAGATCGCTGCAAGTAATACATAGGATTAGCATCTAATGTTTGTCATTCATATTACAATGTAATGTTTCATGACGAGCTGCATACATATAACTAGCAAATCTAGATTTTACATTCATGAGTTATGAATATGTTATGAAAACGAATTCTAGAAATTGTAAGTTTACCTAACAGTGAGCCAACCACCGCTGTTATTGCAAAAGGAAAATAAAATTGTTATATAACATCAAAAGAAATCCAATTAACAAAATAAATATCTTCACATAGTCTGATTCAAACATCCCAATATTTTTTTTACAAAAAAATAATTTTATTTTTTTAAGAACTTGGTATTTTGGTAGATATTGAGAGAATGTACTCACGTTCGGTACAGAACTCTCCGCTCCAGCCGGGCGCGCAGGCGCACGTGCCATTGTTGCAGGTGCCGCCGTTCATACAGATGCGCCGGCAGCCGCCGCGCGTGCGCGCTGACAACAAAACACACATCTTACAACATGACTCTACATTAATCCACCCATCCAATATTACATTTCTTAACAGTCCTCATAAAAGTGTCTGTTGGTTGGGTCGAAATTTTATAAAATATTCAACCAACCAAACAGCGAAAAAGAAAGCTGAGAAACAGAATAACGAGTTGTGTTCTTTAGGTATACATCCTGTAAGCTATATCATCCCTTACTTGTCAATTGTTAATAGGCAAGGAAGAAGATAAATAGCGCTCTATTTTATTTCTAAGTTAATAATCAAACTGATCCAGTTCAAAGTGGCGCTCGGTGACTCACCAGAGTAAGGGTAGAGTCCGCCCCCGCCTCCACACGAGGAGGCCTCGATACCGTTAGGGCAGCGGCACATGTTGGGTGCCACGCATGACCCTGGCGAGCCGCAGTCCGGCCGGCAGATTGCTGCAATACAACACAATACATCGACTCTTTGTTTATATCACAAGAAAAAGTCATAAATCTAAGTATTAAATATAACTTTTAACCTTTTCAATAATGATTTAATGACGATATTTCTTTGTTGTTATTGTTATTTTATGAACTATAAAATCCTCATTTCTTTGTTTACAACAAAGTGTTGACTCTGTAACATTTTCGACTCGCGGTGGCTGCACCATCGCAATAATAATTTTGATAAAGATTTTTATATAATATTTTGTTAATATAAATGTCTAATGACACATCCAGTAATATGATGTAAACAAAATCAATGGTCACATATTCTCAGTAATTGTAAGTTATGGGTTAAGGTTCACTTCTAATGAATGTTCGCTTCGTTAGATGTTGATAACAGACAGTCAATAACACTATCTATGCTTTAACTGATATTTCATAACTGTTCCGTACAAATCGTAAAATCTTTCTAATTAATATAATAATAAAACAATATTTAACGGTCTCCACAGCCAAATAACAGTGCAAACATAATATAGTCCAGGGGACCGTGATATTTTTCACGCTTATAGAGGTTTCTCTCTAACCTAAGTACTTTGCTTACGGAGCCAGTCCATCTGGACCGGTCAATGACTCTCTTATAGAGGTTTCTCGCTTATCAAAGGGAAGAATATACAAAATATATTTTTGCACAAGATGTTTCAAACAGTCAATAGAGCTGTATTGCATCACTAGCGCCACCTGCGTTGATACTTACGTACTACACAAAGCAGGGAGTTTGGACGCGAGGTCCATCCGGGACAGCAATGTGTGCTGTTGCGGCTCCGGCACACGTGGGGTCTGCAGGACAAACAACAAAATATATATTACACAAGGAAATTAAAAATAAACAGTTATGTAACCACGGAAACAATAGCAATGTCAATATTAACTGGCTATTTGGCTTGATAGAAGAACCAATACGTATTATACATCTGTGTTATTTGTTATATTTAAGTTGTGCTTTGTTCAAAATTCCCAGAGATTTGATTATAAATCATCGCACATTTTAGTAAGTGTTTATTTTAAACTTATTGAATATAAAAAGTAAGTGGTCGAGTTAATTGTAACAAAAGCAGATATCGCTAGTTAGCCCTTGCGATGCAGTTTACAATTAACAAGAGTTCATTGTGTCCTCTCCACACGACTTGATTGGTTGTAACAAGATCGTTAGCGCCACGCCACACGTTATTATCCATTACAACTATAGAAGTGCCTTGTAAAATCATTAAGCGCTAATAAAACTCTTAGGAGCCTACAAAAAGAACGAAAACAAAGTATTTTTGTTATAATTAGCAAAGGAAATTTGGTAATTAATTAATACTTTGTAATTAATACTTGGTAAGGAAAATTTCGCGAACTTTAAAGTAAACATATTGGTTATAACTTGAATAATATGAAAATGTATTAGAGTTGCTTCAAGCAAGTTTAAATCATAAATCGAAATTATCTTGGATTAAAATCAATATATTAAAGAACATAAAACGTTTAATATTAATTTTAAATATCCAAACCACTGCACTGCGTGTTCATAACTGGCATAGATGAATCCGTACTCGCCAGATGGCGCTGTTCTTTTTGTTCTTAGCGCAGACATAAACAACGTTCATGTCGTAAAAATTATTAATTACAGATAATGATGTAACTGCCCGCCATCAAACATGGTGCACACTAAAATGTACTCAGAGACACAAACAGAACTAAATCATTTAGTTAAATTATTATTTATGATATGGTACTTAACAATCTTCTGGGTATAAGTTAAATAAGTATGTTAACTTTATTAAAATTATACAGTTACATAAGCCGATCTGAATCGCTCACTAGCTGTCGCCAGCGACTGCGTACACACGGAATTTAAAAAAAAATGTTTAGTAGCCTAAATGTTCAGACAATTGTTTAGTTTATTTACAATTTACATCGAAACAAACAAGGTTTATTTTGCTATTATTGCTATTGCCTACCATCATAACTAATAGCTACAAAAGCTGTCAAACAATTCATTATCTATAATAACTTAGTTTAGTAAAAAATATGACAAATTGAATTCGACTTGCGGCCTTCACTTACATTGAGTCACAAAGATGACAGCACGTGTTATTGTCGGCAAAGACCGTGTGAACAGATTCGTTACGCCCCTTGCCATCATTAGGGGACTAATTTATGTTCAATGGGTCAAAGAGGTTGTACGGATATGTGTCACCGCAACATCTTGTCATATTTAGGATAGACAAAGCTCTTGTGTAACTTTCAAACTTAGAGTTGAGATTAAATTATAATAATAAAAATATATGTTTTCTAACTCAATTGGTTTGTTTGTCTTTTTAACTATCTTTGATTTAAACTGATATATAAACACGGCTAAACACTCACGTATATTCGTCCGGTGGCGGCATCGACTAGTTTCGAGCCCATCGGGGGCCCTTCATCAGGATGAGTGGTACTGGTATTATTTCGCGGACGCGGCCCTCAGCCCACGGACGAATATACGTGAGTGTTTACATATCAGTTTAATATAATGTCTCACAAAAGTTTGAATAATTTATATTTGATTTAGTTTGTATATTCCCATATCAAAGTGAAGATTATTAATAATTACGCCTAAATAATTTGTGAACTTTTGAAACGTGTTGTTATCAAAAGTTTACTATTGAAGCGATATTCCCTTTTGACGAATAATTAACTTGATCGCTCTAGTTCTACATAACCTACAGACAATAAATTACTAATAAAGCAATTGCCTTGCATAGTAACATAACAATATGTTATTCAACTCGTCTACATTTATTATGTAGTCTCTTCTAAATAAAAACGACATAACAATAATGAATTGTTAAATAATTTTAGCACGTAGACGACGCGACATCGTCACTGCAACGAAATTGAAATTTCAATGACCTAATTTGAAACACTTGTATAAACAAATTCGATACTGCATTCAAACTTAGCCTACTTAGTAATGGTAAGTTATTGTCAATTAATCAAAAGTGAAAGTGAAATATAATACCTAAATGCTATAATAGCTAAAGCAACAGACAATGTAGGAAAAGAAAATTGATTAGGATGACTGGACTGTGTTAAAATTCTATGTTTTTGATTTAAAAAAAGATTTCTTCCCAACATTTTCGGCCTAAATTTTATCAAAGTATTAGTAGATTTAACAGTTGTATCTGTAGGAAGAACTAGGAGAATCATCTAGAAAATTAAACACGTAAAATATACGATGAAACTTCAGTTAATTCTACGTTTCTGCTAACAAGGGGTTTTTTAAAGGTGCCATCCCTTGCCAGTGAGAAAATGTGCAATGTCCCAAATGCCTCAAGGTACAGACATTGGGGTCCCATAAGGCCTTGCTCCAATTCCCACATTACCCTGTGCTTCACAGATCAGTTCCACTTGCTGCCAAATTTACAGACACGGAAACAGAGCGCGACCGCGATGTCACGGTATCATAATAATGTGACTATCCGTGAAATACTGACGAAGGACTTGTCTTAAATATGTTGTTTAATGTTTTTTTTTACTTTAATTGAAAATAATTAACAACTGTTTCTCGAAGAGATCTTTATAATTTTAAATGTTTGTTCACTTTTCGCCAGTCTCAATTTACATCCGAATTGTTGTTAATATACTCTATACTGGATTGCAATTTATTTAATATAAAACATAAAAAAGAACACTTTGGAGTGTTTACTTTTCATTTAAGCTTCGGAATGTTGGTACTAAATAACTTAGAGATAACTCATTTTAATCACAAAGCCTTTGCATACAGGAATTATAGCGAATTCAACTAAAGTGGGTCGTTTGTAAACAAAAGGGTGTTCTTAATTATTTTGTACAGTTAAGAGTTAAGTTGTGTGCATCGCAGCTTGTATTCATTGAGGCTAATTGACAAGACTCAATGTAATCAGAGCTTATATCAGCTGATACCGTTCTTAATGACTACTAAAATTATGAGATTATATTATAAATAGAATGTAATTAATTTACTCCATTGAGATTATTCATTACTTTAGCAATTTCTTTCAGATTAGATCGATTATACGATCGATAAACGTCAATAAACTTTTGCAATGATAACAGGTGACGATATTGTTTTATACAAAGAAACAAAATTTGTCGTAATTGTTTAGGAGTAGGATCGAACTCCTGTACTATAGTTTAGGAGCTACAGTTCAATCAAGACACGACTGATATTCCTTTTACAACCTAAACAAATAATTTTACAAAACACGATATTTATTATTGATTATTATGGTATTAACATGTTGCATATTCTCAGGTATTAACACTTGCTAGTAAATCAGATACGCCGACTGCCGGCGACAGACAACGTGCGTGTGATGTACCGAGATTACTTTACAATGCAACATTCTTTGTACGTGGTTTGATTAATGAAGACTGTTGTGTATACGTACTGTCTCATAGTGCAATGTATTTAATTCATTAAGACGTGAAGAGAAATTTGGAAAAGTTCGAAAAATCAAAATACAAAGAAAGAAAAAGCATTGTATTAAACGTCAATTAAATTTTACACTAATTCACTAACTGCTTTAATTTTAATCTAAACTTGATTTATTAGTGTTCGTGTTGGAAGCATATTAATGTTTTTTTTTTCGTCGACACAGATTAATAAATATGCAGAGACAACAGTAGGTTAAATTATTGTTGTTTCGTTAACCATGATAGTTATCTAAAATTTAAAATCGTGCTATGATTTAATTAAACATTGAAATTTAGAACATATCTGAAAAGTTTTTCAATGTACGCTCTACTTATTATTACTTTGCGAATCATGTTTGACAAACTGGACTTATAGATAGTAATATTTAATTACTAGCTCTCATAAGCTAAGTTGAAAAGGTAAATATTTAGTATATGGAGGTAGTGATACTGACCCTACGAAGTGACTGGGCGCGCGGTCATCGAGGGTGCGAGCACCGCGCTGCCAGTGGCGCGCTCGGGCGTCGGCGCGCGGGGCTCGCGGCTCCCCCGCGGCGCACGCGCACAGCACGGCCAGCGCAGCCAGCGCCCACCGCGCGCGCCTTGCGCCTCCATCACCCTGCAGACAATACATACACATTAATACAACACGATCATACAGCAATATTAGACGTATGAATCACATGGAAAACACTAACAAAGTATTCGCTTCGCTGAATTAGAACAGTTGGGTGATAGAGAATGATAAACGACTTCTATTCGAACATGTCCGAAATCGCGGCGGCATTGAACCCGCGCTCACAAACTATCAGCATTGTTTAGATCACCAGGTCAGCGGTCATCGTGGAAGCCGACGCTAAAATGTTGCTCTTCTTAGTAATTAATAGAACAAAACGCTTCATTCTTATTGATTAAATAATCAGTTTCTTATACGTTTACAACTTAATAGAGATAAGACGACGGTTTGTAATTTTACTATTCCAAGAAAATTTATTTCATTCAATATTCGGAGAATATAAATACACTCGCGTAAAACAATAGAAGCTAAAAACCAAATGTTCTTTTGGGAGACTTTAACCTGTATGTTAGTTCCAGCTTTTTCTTATTTCTACCATTTAAGATATAGTAAGAAAGAAAGTATAAGAAAAGATGACATTGAAACACTAAAGGGTTGAAAACATCCGAAGCGACTGATCGTTCTGGGTGCGGGGTGAGTGTTGCGGTGTGCGGGGAGAGGGCCAAGGAATCTGTGCCGAAATGATAACGCCGTACGTCGACCCTCTCCCTCTGTACGCACGCGCTATCACATAAAGCTATATTTAGTTAAAAATTATATAAAAGAAATATAATAATAGTACAATTCAAGGTATCAAATACATTGAGTTGTTATGATGGTGTTTTGTAGCAATATCTTAACTTAAAACATGTGTCTTATAAAGTTTGCGAACTTTACAAACTTAGCTTGCATTTATTGTGACTAAGATGATCATTTCAGAATTTTAACATCACTGTTGCTTCCTATTTAACATTGACCCTCCATAATTTGGAGGTTAAGGCCCGAAGAAATAACATTGAATTTTTATAACTACGGAAGCTTCAAATTTTTACGCTGTCGACTGCCATTTAAAGTGTTATGAACTCTGTCAACGCATTCTGCATATCGTACTTATTACGTTTGAAGAAATAAGAAAGAATTTTACAGAATAATCCATACAAAATCATGATTAACTAATTTATGTGACCAGTATTCATAAATCATGAATAATATGAAATATCCATCACGATAATAAAACACTAAAATGTCTAACTAAGTCTTAACAATCATAAATAAGACATCTCGAAAAAGTCTTGAACCGAACTTGCCTTTTAATCGCTTGGGATACTTAAATTTATTTTGGAACATATAAGATAACGTAGTAAAGAAAGAATGTAATCAGATTGTCAATTAAATGTATCAAAAGTAAAGCAGCGAACGGTCGGTGGTCGGCGTTCGGTGTTCAGTGAGTCACGCGGGCGCAGTGAGCTCCGCCCACAGGCCTTCCTATTGCTGTGTCATATGTACACATCTACTTGATGCTCCTAATGTATTTTATATCTTACTAATATTATAAATGCGAATGTTTAGATATCTCCGGAACAGTTTAACAGATCTTGATGAAATTTGACATCGATGTAGAACAGTCTGGAAGAACACGTAGTCTACTCATTTAGTTTGTTTTTAATACCGCGCGGATGGAGTCGCGGGCGACAGCTAGTAAATAATATAACGTGAGATGACATGAACTCGGTGAAACAGACAATAAGAAGAGATAATATTTATAATACAAAGTTATGTATAATAGCTGTGACATACAGATTTTCTACAATCTAGAAAATCTAATTGAATCTAACTAAGAAGCACTTAGCAGAATAGATGCAGAAAAACAAGCATTTTTCTATGTATAAGAAAATTGGTAAAGTGACACAACTTTCGATAAACAAAGATAGCCTTAATACAAACGAATAATTTTATTTAATCAGCAATCAGTTAAACAACATTTAATAAAATCATATATTGAATAGTATTTAAAATGTCAGATTACAACTTAATTCGAAAAATAAACTAAAAATCGATGTCGTTTACATGTTGCGACATTGCGTGACAGCTTTGCTCTGGGAAGCGATCCTATCGCTGCTGTGTACGACAGAACAACGACAGGAACCTCCTAGCTAACTAATTACACTAACGAATAAGTAACCAACTTAAGACTTTATCTCTACATCAACTTGTAACACAAACAAGTTCACGTAGCCCGTAGAAAAACGTCTAGTTTTGAAATATCATATACCCCTTTTACTTTAATAAAGATTGCAACAAGTAAACATTCGATATTATTTTAAGCTTTTACTCCCGCCTTTCTTATTTCCTATTAAAGCGTACCTACCGCAGTTATATCGAATGCTCTCCTTCAATCTATGCGTCTAAACAACAAACAATAGAGATCCCTGCTTCGATCGATATCTGACCGCTGGATACAAAAATAAAAATAAAAAGAGACCTTTCGAAATGAATATACTTAATGAACTTTCCCCGGGCAATGGCAGCCGATACTCTAAGGATCTCCGTAATGTAAACAACCCGGGGCACTACAGGGATCCTGTTATACTTACACTTGAGTTAAAAAATGTACGTGTCACCGTTCATTTTTGGTCTTCGTCGTTTTATAATCGAACTATATTCTATAAATCTTTTAGTCATTACAAGCTAAAGTTGACATATAGATGGCAGTAACTTGACGTAAGAATGTCGGTTTCTTTGCACGACACGACACTCACGACACGCCACCGCGTCCAGATTACGTTACAAATATTTCGCTAATCATAGCATCCCCTCTAACACAGGATGTTCCTTGGAATTCGCATCTAATCATCTAACATATTGTCATTATGGAAACTCACGAGAGTAGTTTCCAATAGCTTTATATGTGACTGGCACATTCTTGGGTACAAGGTCGCGTTATTAAATATTATTTCATATTTATTACACGTTGTTGTGTTGTACACAGACAAGCGAAAACATTTAAAAATACCACAGGATTATTTATTTTCATCATTCTCAATAAAATGTTTATTTGTACACACGTCGCGTATAGAAATGAATAAAGATGACGTGCATTCGATATAACATAGGGACATGCTAAAACAATACCACATACATTTTGTTGTAAACGTTATTAAGTTTGATTTCAACAGTAAAATTTTTAAAGTTTCCAAAGCAAAAAGATGCACGCTACGCGTTTTGTTGTGCAAACTACTTTTTACTGCATCTATTCCACAATTTAGCCGAGAATAAAGGTTTATTCTCAATCAAAAATAAGATTCTAAAAAAATGTTGGTAATGTAAATTTAACTTTCATGTCACCAATTAAATGACAATGTAAAAGTAGGTGACATAGCAGTAGTTATAAAATGTTAGAGGTGACATGAGTGCAGGATCTGTGGGGCGGTGACCAGTGTCAATCGCGATTATGTCGGGCTCCGTGCGACACGTCAGGACCTACCGCACGCGCGCTTTAAAATAAAGCCGGATACACACTGCGTACCTAATAACTTTTACACGCTAGGAATTGATGGCCTATTCTTTTCCTTTGAATTGATTTTTTCAACGTTTGTAGCCTTTAAAAAATGTGTTAATTAATTTCGGCAGAATACACATAATTTCCTAATGTGTAAATATATTCGATAGTGGAGACTCGCCCTAACAATGTAGCGAGCGCTCTCAATTGAACGGTTATTAAACGCATTCTTGTTCTCGCGCCGCCACACTATACTACACATGTACCATAGACAACGCAGAAAACACGTTGTAACCATAGACAATGATGTAATCTGCTGTATTTGGGTACAGTACACACGTAGCAACACTGCAAACACTTTGTAACCATAGACAAAGACAATGATGTAATGTACCGTATTTAATCTGTGCTCGAGCTCTTTTTTTAAAATATTTTATTTTTTATCGAATTTCAAACTCTTTAGAGGCAGGAGCGTCTGCAATATTGGTTTTTTTTCTCGATTAGCTTTTACAAACATATTTTCGAATTTAGTTTGGAATTCCCGAATGGACATTTTTTATTTGATTGTTCCATATTTTTACTTTTCTCTTAAATACATTCGCATTTGGATTATTTGTAATTAAATTATTTCATTATAAGTAAAGTGATGAAAATTGTTTAGAATTTTAACTTATTATTGTAAAACTGTGTTCGGATTAGCTGGGTCGTTGCAATCAAGTGAGCTGACGGCGCATCGCCGAGGGCGTTCTCTAGTTAACCACACGTTACCCCGATCATAGGCGCAAGGAATCAAGACAACTACAATATATTCTATCTATTTGCAAAAATATCGGTAATGACAATAATTAATAATAAACACAACGCAAATATGATTTTTCTTTGGAAGACGAATATTTTATAATATAATATATCTGTATTACAAGGTCGTACGTTCTCTGTGTCAAGAAAAAAATACATTAATGTTTTCCGTTCTGTTGAAAATATAATAATTTAAATTAAAATATATTTAAATAATGGATAAATAAAAATGAAGAGGTAGACCCGCATATATCCTTAATAATTTACGGTACCCTATTTCGTAATGAACATCCTGTCCGCGGCCGCCCCTACATCTAATTAATATCCACATCTCGGGCGAGTATTATTTATGATAATTTCATAGATTAATTACGAGTCTCGAATTGATTAGGAGGAACGGTATCCTATCTCCTTTACAAATGAACCTACTGGTATATCCCGCTCCCCGCGCTCTTCCCGCGCTCTTCCCGCGTTCTCCCCGCCTTCATACCGCGTGCTCGTGCCTCAGACGTGCCGTAATGGGTTACAGATTAAACACGGGATATTGGAATTATATCATTTTATCTTGAAACAATATTAAAATTGATCGATATCGTTTAATTACAGTGTAAAGTGAGATGTGGGCGTCGGACTGTGTACAGCTTCCTAATCGAATTGTATATATGAAATGAGATAACTTTTTTAAAGA